ATTCCAGGCAGAGGGCGAAACCTTGGGCAAGTTTCCTTACTCCACACAGAGCCTAATAATAATCCCTCCAAAACCAAAAACAATAATAAATTGGTCATTTTCAATCTACGACTGTTTGTGGGACATTGCTGTGTGCAATTGGCTGCCGCGTTCACCCACAAATATACAGTCAATTCACTTTATAGTGTGTTCTGTGAAGCGCTTTGGGACATCCTCCCGATGTGAAAAGCGCTATATCAAATGCAAGGATTATTATTATTATACAATACACATTGTGGAGCTGCCTTATGAATCTCCCTCTCCGCCCCCCAATAAAGGGAATGTTTTAATACTGAATGTGTTCACAACGACAACCCACGTGCTAGGATCTATCTGGGGACGTACAGATCTAAATATAGATGGATAATATAAAGGTTAAGCCTTTGGTAGACAAGTAGATCTTATTGCCATGCAAACTGGAAAAATAAGCTGACAAGTAAACCCATTAGCTGCTTCGTCTTCTAAGGCTGTCACCATTACTGCTTCGTTTGTTTGACACCAGAGAAAGGGGAAAGATGTTTACTCGGAGTCCTTTGTCATATTCCTCTCGCCTGTCTGCGCTCTGACAGTCTGCTGTTCCTAAATACACCGCATAAGCCCTTCCGCTAAAGCGTTTCCAGTTCCTGCTTGTATCATCTATGGTAGTGACAATTACCAAGTATTTTCTGGGTGGTTAAACTTTAATTTATGGGGTCTAATGGGAGTGTTACCAATACAAAAACCCCACGCAAATAAATTCAAGGTTACAATGGATAATTCCACAAGCAAGATTGATTCCACAATGCAGGATCCTTTTATGGAGTCTTTTGTACTCTGAACAAAATTACAATTATTTCTTCTTACAATTACTCTTTACCTGTAAGAGATTTGCTGGAGTGCCATTTGTTCCATTCCACTAATCACTTGTTCCCAGGTAGTCCGTTCCCATTGTCTAGCTTCATAATAATAATAATCATTGCATTTAGTATAGTGCCTTTCACATCAACAGAACGTCTCAAAGCACTTCACAGGTATATTGTAAAGTGGAGTGTCTGTATTTTGTAGGCGAACTTGGCAGCGAATTGGCACACAATCTCCCACAAGCCGCCATGAAGTGAATGACCAGACCAGAATGTGAACGACCCTTCTTGTTTCGAATAGAACAATGGTATCTTCAATGTCTACCTAAACAGGCAGACAATCTTGGTTTAATGTCTCGCCCGAACAACAGCTCCTCCAACAATGCAGCGCTCCCCAGCACTGCACTGGAAGTCACCCCTGGAATGTGAGTTCACGGCTTTCTCACTCAGAGGCGAGCTTACTATCAACTGAGCGAAGCTGACACTTGACACCTTGATTGTTGCAGGCAGTTAAGCAGCTGCTGCTCAAGGTCAACACCGCTGTTTGGTGGAACCATTGCTCAATAGATAGGGATGTGAAAGATGATATGGTTGGCAACAGAATGTCAGAATCGAGGCATTCTTCTGTGGTGGTTTTGATAGACCAGTTGCTGAGCCACTGCTCCTGGGCGCTGCTAATGACAGCCCGACTCATCGGCAGGACTTGGAAGTGTAGACCAGTCACTGGGAGCACGGGATTCTTCCTTCCAATTTCCGGTTAAGCTTGCAAGATGAAGCCCTAACATTAGGTTTGGTCCTTGCTTGCAGTAGGAAGCTTGTCACACAGTGCTCTTAATGGCCGGCAATGTGGTTTCAGCTGGTTAAACTCCAGCAGATCCCCCAACGCACACCCTGCAGTCCCAAAACCTTGTCTCTTCTCAACTTTCCCTAATTGTCTCCAGAATCGAGTAAGCAGCATGCATTTCTCCAGCGAGAGAGAGTGCGTATTCGATTCCAGACGCAGGGAAATTTCCACGAGTAGGTAACATACATAAGTGGAACTCTGTCTGTTTTCGACACTGAAACACGGTGATGGGTTTCCGCGTGTGTCACACACCCGTCTGATCAAAAAAACACTTGCTTTTTGTGCTGCCACGGATCCAAGCAAAGCACGCCCACAAGTTAATTCTTATTTTACATCCTTTCCTTTGGAGCAGAGGTTGCTTTTGAAAGCTAAGAAAGGGGAAAAATGCGAGGATTCGTATTCCATTTAAAGCACGATTTCCAAGACAAGTGCATCGGTGCCAGAGATAGATATTGGTGAGGGCTCAGTGAAGAGCAGCTGTGACATGCCAGGATGTGAGCAGCTCAATAACACTGACTACAAAGAGCTGCCTTCCACTGAGGCCGTCTGCTTTCACACACAAAAAAAAATTCTATTATAATTTCGCTTTGAAGATGCAAGAAAAGTGCTTTATTAGAAACCATTTGGCCATCTGGGGATATGCTCAATAATATAAACACCATCTATAAGAACATAGCGCTGGAGTGAGACGTGATCTGCAGAAGTCCCCAGGCATGCAACAAAACAGCAAGGACTTTCATGGCAATTAAATACTAAACAAATCTTCAATTGCCCAATTTATGAGAGGGCACCAGACCGTGAATGCACCATTAATGACTGGTCTGTCATCTAATTTTTCTAGACAGGCACCTTAAATTACAAAATTTTGCAATGTAGTGTACACAATTATTCTTTTAGCCAAGCAAAGATATCCAGTATGTCTGCTTGGTTTAGCTTTCGCTGCCAATGGTGAGGAGAATGGCATTAACCAAGATTGTGTCTAGTTGGGGTCCAGTTGCTGACAGAATAGTGTAGGGGAGAAGGGGTGCCTTGGTTGGGGCATTGATAGTGGGGGGCAGGAGGGCAGTGGCCAGTTGAAGCTGCTAATTTTTACAGTAAAACTCACATAAGTCTGATGTGTATAAATCGTATAGTCGCACAAGTCAAACATCTGCCAAGTCCCGTTTAAGAGTTTATATTCCCTCCAAGTTTGACATAAGTCATACTTTGCATAAGTCATATTGAATGTACGGTTCCAATATATATACATAACATACGTAACATAACATACATAACACCATAACACAGGCTTATGTGAGGTTCATTGTATCACCTACAATATACAGTCTGTGAAGCGCTTTGAGACGTCTCGAAGATGTGATAAGGCGCTTTATGAAATGCAAGGATTATTATTATTACTGTATTAGAGATTTCCGTACATGGTATTAATTGCTGAATAGACGTCTCCTGGTAGTGGCAAAGGTGGGTAGAATTGCCCTTCGAACTTTGATCTATTCGGCGCTGTTTGGACTTGATCAAAACGGGAAAGAAAAGATCTTCACTTGAACAAACGATTGCTCTGACTCTGCAGGAAAGGAACAGAAAAGATGATAACCCAGCAATACCCGTCCGTCACAGAATTGACTGAATTACATTCACAGTTTGACTGGAAATTAAATTACGCCCCATGCCTCAAAAGCTAATGCCTTTTAATGCAACATTGTCTTTCTAACCCCATTATTGTTTGCCGATTTCCTGATGCTTCAGTGATACTGGTGACTCCAGCTTGCTTCATGTTAAGTCTGAACAGTGACCTTTCCTTGCAGTCCTTTAACAAAATAGTTGTAGGATTTTCATGACAACCATATTCTTTTTATTTCATTTGTGTTACTGACAGTACTCAAGCCCAGCAATATGATAATTAACTCAACTGATGACTATCACTTAATGGGCCTCACAGCGTAACTTGTTCAATTTAATAGTGAATCTATAGAATAAATTGACGTTGAACATCGACAATGGATTATAAGAGCTCTTCAGAGACTATTGTAACTCATTTGTACCTGTGACAATTGCGACCAGGCCTTGCGTACTAGTGAAACGACTGATAAGAAAGAAGTCCTTTGTAATATTTCACGTCGCAGCTCGCTTTCTTCCAAATGAATGAAACATTACTGGTGATTTCACAAGAAAGAAAGCAAAGGCTCAAAATAGCTTGCCTTCTATAGGACTGACTGATGTTATTTTTTTATAAAGGTGCTGCATCTCCTATTTCTAAAGTTGGATAAAGCAGAATTAAGTGTGAGCGTGTGTGCTTTTCTTTTTCCCAAATCCTTTGTTTCTCTTCCATCTGTGTAGTGTGTCTCTTTTGGCTTCCGTTTCTGGCTCTCTAACCCTATAATGACCTGAATTAAATCACTCTACCGCCCGTTCAAACGTGCACTCCTAGAGGGGAGGGGAGAATTCTGCTGTTGGTTACTGTGCGCAGACTCGATAAAAGATTTTCTCTAAACTTTCAGTACCACTTTACTTCCAACAATGCAGAACCCCCTCAGTACTGCATTGGATTGTTAGCTTGGACTGTATGAGTTCGAAGTCGCAGTGCCAAAGTGAAGCAAATTGTTCTGCATAATTGTCATACCCCATAGCAAGAATGAGAGAGCTGCTCTTTAGACCAATACAGTGCAAAGAGAGCCTGATCAATGTCTTTCAGTAACACAGTGAAGATGTTAAACCATATATTGTGATAGAACTTCTTTTCTGCTCGAACTTCAAATCAGTCTATTTCCCTTTTATGTTGGATGATGCAGTGTTCTTGTTTTTGTAGTTTGGTTGATTGGGTTTCTTTGTGCTCTGTGAACGCCAGTGCCAGACTGAAGGCTTTACTGTGTTTTCAAGGTGACAATTCAACCACATTGCAAAAGGTCATTCAAGTCATTCCCTTCAATTACCATTGTCTCATTCCGTACCGTTCATCCTTGTTGCAAAGTCTCTCATTCACAATAATTATCTATGCAACTACTAATCATAATGTTATATTGAATTATTTATATTGGAGAAGAAATTGGTCTTCACACTATAATTATTTTTCCACAAATTCACACTTGTGTGGCGGTGTACCTTGTGTTTAATGCAATGTCGAGTACAGCTGTTCGTTTGAATGAATAGCACTGCTGTTCTTCAGTCGTGACTATGTCCCACAATGGAATTCAAAGTGTTGGGGCTAGTTTAGAAATTAAGTCATCACTCAGAACAGGATATGTTTTAAATATGTATTTTTTTTTGCACGCACACATCAGGATCTTGAAAGAAAGGTGAGATTTCTATTATTTATTGAAATGGATTTCCTTAACTACTTTGTTGTAGCATAAACATCTGAACTTGAATAGCAGTAGTTATAGAGATTTCTATTCATTATTGAAAAAGATGTACAGTCTCAAATGGGGTGGTTGGTTTCAGTAATGGGTCAAATTGTCCTGTTAATAATTATAATAATCCTTACATTTGATATAGCTCCTCTCAACTCAAGAGAACATCTCCAAGCATTTCAAAGGATATACCGTAAAGTGTTGTGACTGTAATTTGTAAGCAAATGAAGTTGCCAATTTGTGTACATCATTGAAGTGTACGACCAATTTTATTTGGGGAATTGTTGACCAGGACAATGGGAGAAACTCTCTAATTTGAATAGTGCCATAAGATGTTTAACATCCAACTGAACAGATAGCCGTGAGTTCAGTCTCAACAACGCAGCACATCCCCCAGCAGTGCCTTGGAATGTCAGCCTAGACCACAGAGTTCAAAATACACAAGGTCCCGCCACTGTACAGTACATCCTGTGGAGTGCTTTGAGGCATCTCGATGATTTGATGAAGCGTGATATCAAATGCAAGTATTAGGATTAGGGATTTTATGATAAAATAAAATCCCAACATGGGACTTGAACCAACAACCAACCTACCGCTATTGCAAAACACAGTACGTTGCTCTACCAAACACAGAATTTGTTGCCGTCCTGGGGATAACTAACTTGGTCAGAATTTGTTGTTTTTGGAGGAGAGACCATTATTGCGTTTGATCTGCATTTTTGAGACCTAGAAGAGGAATTGAGCCTGCAGAACCCAATGTCAAGACAAATCTGACATCTTCAAAGGAAAGGAAATGGAAAGCCTTTAGTGTCAGGAAGGTGAGGAGATCAAAGAAATTTAGAAAAAGAACGAGGGCATGAGGCCTGCCAAACTTAATCCACTATTTTATTAGACAACAGCAAGATTTATAATCGATTTTTTCTCACACTTTCTCCATATTCCTTAAAACCTTTACTTTCCAAGTACCCATCTATATGCCAACACTGCAATCTGCCTTCTGGGGCAATGCATTTTACATTCTCACAACCCTTTGTGTGAAGATGTTTCCATTTTTAACCAGAATTATTAAAAAAGTATATGAAAAGGTAGAAAGGCAACCGGGAGAGTTGGATTAGGACTTGATGGTTCATATGAAGAAAACAGCACAAACGTAACGGGCTAAATATCCTGTTTCACTGGTGTAACATTTGGGGTATTGTTTATCCCAGGTATTATGTTTTGGATTCCAATGGTGCATTGGGTAGAACTTAGTTGTATCGGAACACATTTGTGTGGAGTTTTCTCAAATCCATTAAAAGTCGGCATTAACAGATGGCATTGTAAACTTTGGAGATCCGAGCTCTAAGCTTGGACAAAGGATATGAGTCAGTCCTGTTCTGAGCCTGCAATTAACAATGGTCCCCAGAATACCTGTATCATTTACTCTTTAAGTGCTATCAAATTGATCACTCCATTTGCTCTACTTCAAAAGCAGACCGATTGTGTTAAGAAATGCTTTGTGAATTCAGGTTATGTGCAATAAAACTGACTCGCCTTATTTTCTATGCATTTGGAAATACTAAAAGTTTGTGACAAATTATTCATATCAGTTCATTGTGTTCAGTGGAAACACATACCCACACTGGGTATGTGACTTAATAGCTGAGTACTTTGTTCTGTTTTTACTACATTGGAATATTGCAAGGCTTACCCTAACGTTTATTTGAGGTTTAAATGAGATTTATCACAGATCGAAGTCTCCACTGTAAACGTGGATTCTGTTAACATCCATTAGTGAAATGGGTTTTGGGTAGTTGCAATCCACCTCCCAGTGGAGATGATTGTACAGCACTAAACAGCCTATGGAGTCGGGCAAACATGCTAAGTACTGCGTTTATCAGGGTAATTTGTGTGAACACGTCAATAATGTTCTGTACACGGAATATTGCATTGCCGCAGAACACTGAAGAATTTTAAAAACAGATCCATGAAGAACAAAGCTTCCTTTTGAGGGTTTGCAATGTTCTTTTGGAGTAACGTGCTCATTTTCTTTTCCAACAACCTACTGTGGTAGGCCAGTTGCTTAGCTATTTCCACCTACCTGCGGTTTCATGGAATAAATAAGAGTTCACTGTCTCTTATTTCAATAGAGAGAGAGATTGAGCTCTTTTGTTTTTTGGCCTTTCATGTTTTTCGCTCCTATAGAATGTCTTAACAAAATGCTGTACTCCAAAAAGCGCTCGTGCACTCAGCTAAAACTCACTAAACTTAAGCAGCAATTTAATACTGTACTTCTTAGAGACCAGAAGTACTATAAAGCTAATTAAAACTCCAATTTCTTGAAGGTACATCTGATAATAGCTTCCTTGAAGTGTTTGTAACAAAAGTGTAATAAATAATAATCATTGCATTTGATATATAGAGCCTTACACATTGTGAGAATGCCTCAAAGAGCTTCACAGGATTTACTATGAAGCGTAGAGACTGTATTCTGGAGGCGAACATTGTATTAATTTGATTTCAAAGAAACCTGACTAGCCTTTAGTGGATTGCCTCTTGCTCAGAATTTCCATCTTCGTGGAATTGGAAGTCTGAATACGTGATCTTCTGTAGCACAGCTCACCACACCCTCAGCTTTCGGTCATCTTTACCTTCGTTCCCAAACAAAAAGGATGCTATTTAAGTATAAATTATTATTTTGTCTCACAAATATTTAGAATACAATTTGCTGTCGCTGAGTACGTGAGCCAGCCATCTTAGAAAGCATCCAAACCTCTTGGTTCGGTTGTTTTATCAGTTTTCTCCCCCACTTTCAACCTACACACCTGTTCCTTGTTCTGCTCTGCTACCAGTCCAGTTTTGAAGGCTGTGACAATTCTGGGCTATATGTTCTACGGGCAGTCCTGAGGCACCTTGCCCGGCTGCCATCGTTTATGTGTGAGCCGGACTATATGGCCTTGCAGGCTGTTCCATTCTGAGAAGGCATCTTAATCAATCCCAGTCACCTATTATCCAAGCACTAACACATTCCAGTCATTACTGAACAGCAACTACAAGTGGAAACCGCAGCCCCTTATCTTTATCTACGCTCCACAACCCAGTGACTGGCAATGCCCATTGTGTCTGAGATCAACTAACATAACGCATAGTGTGGCTGAGCCCAACTAACTTAACACAAAAAGTTGCTAAGTGCTGCATTTGCTGCATTAGCTTTCCATTGATAATGATCTATTCACACTGTTTTGTGCATGCATTAATGTATAAATGGCAACGCATTAGTGCTGAGTATCTAATGGAAATCTAGTTTGCTGAACATAATTTCAAAAGAATTTCCGTTTCTGGTATTTGGTGAAATTATCTCCCAGATGACCCAAACATAGTGAATTTATTATGTTTGCTACTCAGGCAATGAGCATAGTCTAGGGTGATCCTCCAGTGCAGTAAAGGTGGAGCCCTCCACTTCATTGTCAGAGGTGCCATCCTTCGTATAAGATGTAAAAGTCTCTGTCTGCTCAGGTGGACATTAAAAATCTCACGGCACTATTTAAAAGGAGAAGGAAATTTCTACCACTGTCCAAGCCAACAATCCCCTCAGATAAAATTGGTCATTCACCTCATGGCTGTTTGTGGGACGTGGCAATTCACAAATTAGCTGGTGACGAAGGCAGAGTCGCTATTCTTCACAGAAAAAAATTGTGAACGCTTTTTAGACTTTTTTTTAATGTAATAAGACGGGATATCAAATGGAAATTTTTTTCATTATTATTCAAATTGCTAAGAACTTAAACGTTTCTGAACACAAGAGGAAATTAAGATAATTTTCACCTCATGTTTGGCTCCCATTATTATTTCAGCACAGGAGCCTGTCTCCAGTTATTCATATTGGAAGGCTTTAGTTGACACCATCTCTATATTCCACACAGCAGTTCATCAAGGATTCATCACAAGATACTCAGGCAGCTGCCAATGCCATTAAAGCCCCTTGAAGGGAAATAGTAATACAAAGAATAGCATTTTTAGTGCGTTTCACTATCGGTGACCTTTTTTAAGAAAGAAAATTGAATGCGAAAACAGCTAGGAATAAAAAGGAAAAAAATCCTGTTTAGTTTTATTTTTTATTCAAACAGCAAGCTGATGGTATCAGCAGTGAGAAGAACTGACTGGGAGGAGTTATTGTGCCCAACAGTGCAAGGTAGCTGAATTAATGCACTCACACTGAGTTGAAATGAACTGATCGTCGAAGCATCCCGTATTAATGGCATGATCTGTACTAATGTTGATTCACCTACATTGCCCTGCCTGGCTCAGTCACTCCCCCCTGTCCAATATCCTTCAGGAATGTCATCAGCATTTAATATGAAAATCAAAATATTTTCAAATAAACCTACCGGAAACAAGTATTGTCGTTTCTAATTATTTGTAGCTTTAAACAAAAAGGCTGCAAGGTGTCATTAGTTTTAGTGTCATTAAGCGCTCCAGGACCCTACCCCATGCGAAGGAAGCTATATGAATACAAGTTGTTATTGAATTTTGAAAATGATAGCCGTTGCATTGCCTTGTCTGTGGGGCAATGTTTTTCTTCGCTGAATTAAAGAAAGCTCTGTTTTTCCATTCGCAGGCAAAGAAACTGGAAGAAAAGGAGAAGGAGCTGCAGAAGATGGACAGCTACTACAAGGATCAAGTAGCCAGGTTGGAAGATATGGTAAGGAAGCATTTCACTGTTCAAATGTCCTTCCTACTTGCCAAATTCCCTAGTTCTTCCCTCCACAAGCAACAGACCAACCAGAACTGCAGTCCATGATCTCTCCTGCAAGCCCATAACTCGCATCACTGAGCTCCCTTAAAGTGCTTTAAAATGTTGCAGCAATCCTAATTTTATTACACAAGGAATGAAATTATTTAGGATCTGCTGCAATGTAAAAAAGATGTCGCTTTGTTCGGTTTGCGTTGAAGGAATCATTCAAATCCATTCCTGCTGCTTCGGATTCAATCTGTAAATTGATTTCCTCAAGCAGCGCAGTGCCCTGTGATTTTTAGTTTTATCATTGCCTTTTGAGTGTTGCACAAATATCCTCTGTAGCTTTTCAAATACCAGGGCCTTGGCATAAGTATGTTTATAGAGGGTCCAAAAATACGAGCAGATCTTTCAACGCATTGTTTTCTTGAACCAGGCTTCTACCGTAGCTTTTTGTATTTCCATCACTATAGAGCGTGGCCCACTTCATAGAATTGCACGCAACATAACGTCAGCAGATTTTTGTCATTTGTGAAAAGGATTCCATCAGTGTTCGAATAGGAAGTGCTCTTTTCTCCGGTCATCTGCAATAGCAAGATGTCTGGTCCGTACAGCTGACAGCTTGTGCAAGTGGTTCAGTTGCTAACAAAAGAAGAACGGAGTCTGCAACCCCTTCCCTTGTCTAATATCCCAATCCAATTTGAAGCAGATTTGATGCAGAACCAGTTACAAGAATCTCTGCCAAACACTTGAATGGATAACCAGCTTCAGTAGTTTGCATCCTCGAGGAAGCTCCACCTACTGAGATTAGTGTGACATGGTCATAAAAAATTGATTATTATTAACAAAATAGCCTTTTCAAAATTATCTTGCTTTAATCTAAATTAATTATGTTGCCTAGTTTTGCTGCCATTCCACTGCTTTTACTTTACATTGTAATTTCATATTGAGAAAAGATACAGACCCATTACTGAGCCATGTAATTGGTCGCTCGTCAATTAGACGAATCCGAGTGCAATTTTAGCTTGGTTCGTTGTTGATGGCAACCACCCATTTTTGTCTAAACTCAAAGAGCTGCATAAAATGAAGGGCAACTTGTACCATTTATAATAATATCGAATAATAACCCTTTTGATATGGAGCCCTATCACATCATTGACACATCTCAAAGCGCTTCACAGAAATATACTGCCGATCTACTAACAAACGGGTTCCTACTGACTGCTTGGTAAACAGGCATTTGAAGTAAGGAAACTTGCTGAAGGTTTTGCCGCGCCCGGGAATCAAACCCGTGTCCTCTCGCTTGCGATATGATCGCACTAACCACTACACTATGAGACTCCACATTTAAAACCTTATCAACTTTTGTTGGGAATCAATTGTCCATCCCCATAAAAGAAAAATGTGGTTGATGCCAGCAGTGCAGCTCTCTGTATTTGTGTTACTGAGATTGGTCTATAACACTTTGTAATGTGAGAGGATAAAATAAATTCTTTATTGTAAATCAAGATTCTAGCTCATGCATCTGTGTGTAGGAAAATTCATTAATGTCATTGGCTTCAAATCTTTGGACTTGATTCGCATCTTCTGTACTGATTATAGCTTTATCCACCTCAATCTTTTTCAGGTGTCTGCATAATAGATAACCCCACCTCATCTCCATGATCATAACAGTAAGGTGTAGCCTGTGCAACGCAAACTCAACACAGAATGTCAGTGTTCAGCTCATATTTCAGGGGGCTTTCTTTGTAAGGAAATTGCCCATGATCAGCAATGTATTCATGTAAAACCTTAGGCAAGTTTCTTTACTCCACAGCCTCTGTTTACCTAGCAGTAAGTAAGAACTCAGTTGTTAGTCGATCGGCTGATTGCTTTCCGGGGGCACTAATCTGGGGCCAAAGAAACAAAATTGGTCACTAAATTCCCAACTGTTTGTGAGACATTGCTGTGCGCGATTGATCACTGCGTTTTGACCATAAAATATACAGTCGCTCCACTTTACTGTATATCCTTTGAAGCCCTTTGAGACTTCTCAACAACATGATAAGACGCTGTATCAAATAATAGCAATAATTATTATTATTTAAAAAATCTGATGTTGAACACTTAAAATCTCTCCCACTATAATTGGGAGAGAAATTTTGTAATTTTGAAATTAATGTGACTTTGTATTTGTCAGTTTTGTTAGCGCCGTCAAAAGATTTCCATTGATTTAATAGGTATTTACATGACTTAGGTGTAAGAAAAGCTTCAGGACGTGTCTTATTTGAAATCACAATAGCAGCCTGGTTGGATTCAGTGTCTGTTGCTGCCTAGCAATGCATTCTGATTGATCATTAACAGCTTGAAGAATTGTGATGTTTTTTTCTTAGAGAAAAAGAAAAAGGAATTAGAGAATTTCTAGGTACCTTATCAGCATGTCAAGTTATCCGTTTGAAACTCCAAGGCTGATATGGATGTAGGGTACAACAACAACAATAACAAACAACAACAAATTGCATTTATATAATTTCTTTCACGTCGGGAGGACGTCCCAAGGGGCTGGACGGTCAAGGGTTTGCACCTGAGCTGGGGGTTTGAATTAAGAGGGGTGGAGGGGTAGGGGTGGAAGGATTACCAAAGGAATGGTCAAAGAGGAAGGTTTTGAGTCGGGTCACGAAGGAGGCAAGGGAGGGGGCGAGGCGAAGGGACTCTGGGACGGGCAGAAATATTGAAGGCCTGACCGCTGATGGTGGGGTGGGCAGGGACATCGAGCAAGCCAGTGCCCTCCTAGGGTAGGGAACGGGCAGGTTAGTATGGTTTTTTGAGAGTAGTGAGCTAGATACTAGCAAACATATTGCTGTTATGTGCAAGGTTGCTATGGACTCTCAGACCCCCAAAACACTGAGATCCTAGCAGTCCAGCACGTACCTGCAGCAACAACTCCTCGCGAAGGCGGATCTTTTTACTTTGGCAGCTTCCAGTTTTGAGTTAGCGATATAAATTGTAGAAGAAGTTAGAGAGAGAATCAGAGAGAAAGAAGAGGTGAGGCAACCCGAAACTAAGTTCTCATCTTCTTGGGCTTAAAACCACTGTTTTACGGCTTAAGATTGTGGAGAATTTTGGAAAATCGGTTTTGAAATTGGAAGCCACTTTTCTGCAGTTCTTTTGGGGTATTATGGAAAATTGGCTTTTTAAGACTTGATTTCCAAAATTACATATGATGTTGAATATCAAGACACTGGCCTTAAGCTGAAGTATATGAGAATTGTGAGTCCCCAGGGATCGGCTCTCACTTTCTTTTTATTGTAAGTGACATTGGCACGTACCTTGATGGTAATATTTTCAAGACTATGTCTATTCTTAATGCTGATTCTGCTAAAGAAACTCCCTGCTACAGTGCAGAAATCGATATTGGCTGACATTAAAGACTGAGATAATATGCTCCGAGGCATTTATCAGCATATGAGAATCTGAAGGAAATTTCTGGGATCCTCTGAGGAGATGATGTAGGAGAAATGTTAGTTACTGTTTATCTGCCAAAAACTGAATGGTTCAGTAATATTTCTATTGAAAAGTGTTGGCACTTTGAAGGGTGCAAATAATGTATTGATGCATTATAATGTTTTATAACTTTCAAAGCTCCACCGCTTCTTTATCCACACTAAACTCTGTACACCTGTCACCACGTTCCTCGCCAGGTTCCACTGCCTCCCAATGGATCAAATTCAAAGTTCTCAACCTCACCTATAAATTCCTTCATGCCCTACCATCTCCCATTCTCTCTGATCCTCTCCTGCTCGCTCTCTCCATTCGGTTAATTCAGGCCTGGTCTCCTGCCCCCTCCGTCCCACCATCAATGGCTGAGCCTTCAGTTTCAACGTCCTCAACATCTGTATCCCCTTCCCTCGACCCCTCCGTCTCACCCCTCTCTATCATCTTGAAACCTCAGCTTATAACCTACCTCTGACCGCGTCTATGATCAACTCCCCCTTCTCTCCCCCCCACCCATCCTTCCTTCCTTACTCGATGTCCGATCCCATTAGTGCTTTGAGACGTTATACTACTTGATTAAAGCAAGTTGGTCTGAATCGCAGCTGAGTGCTGTCCATATGAACCGAAGTATAAAACTAGTTTTTTTCTATTCACTGATTACAATGATAAATTCTGCCCTGGCTTTTGGAGACTGCACCTGTTCATTCATTGGATAAAAGTAGATACTCTCCTTTCTATTCCAGGGGAGGAAAAGATGGGAGAATACCAATCACCCAGCAGGGGTTTACACGAGTCCCATTGAGTTATATTGAGCTGAACTCGAGGGCATTAGGGCCTTGTCATTAAGTGTGCTTTTTGCTAACCTCTCTTCATCAGCGTGTATTCTGCTGCTGGTAATATATACAGGACATTCTATAGCCCAGTAACAAGCGAGACAATAAAAAAAAGTCTTGATTTTTCTTCCTCTCGCACGATGCATGTCCCGCTGTCATTGCTTGCATAATAGCTTGCAGTGATTACAAAAGAAGCAAGCTTGAGTGAGAAAATGCTGTGCTGGCAGAAGAGGCTGACCCATATGTCTGATTTCCGTATATTCTAAACGGTAGGCAATTTGGATCATGTGTTACCACTACAGGAGAACGGTGGATGTGGAGTACAATCATTTTAAAGACAATTGAATTTTATTTCTGTCCCCAGCTGCAAACCAATAGATTTACAGTGTTCGATATTTAACTGGAGCCAACTCATTCTCTCCTCTGTATTAATCCATTTTAAAATGCGCAACAAACTAGCTCACAGTTATCACATGAGAAACAGCCCACCCCAAATCGTATGTGAGGTTTTGCATTCCAATTAATATTATCCAGCTGAGAACCCCCACATGAACAATTTCTCTGTATCACACCCTTGCTATAATGGGCTTTTAGATTAGCTCTCAACGACAGCATTATAGAGATACTCTGCAGCATTAATGGTGCAAAATATTCAATAAA